GCAAGCTCTCCGAAAAAGCGTGCGTTATAAGCGACAAGGAATTCCACGGCACAGACAAAATACGCGGTCTGTAACGCGCAGTATTTCAAACACTGTGCAGAAAAGCCTCTGGCCTTCCCATCGCCCCAATGTCCAGGTCAGGCTTCAACGCCTCTAACTCATTGGCACACGCCGCTTCTTCTTCCTTGAACGCCGCAAGCGGTCAGCCGTGGAGAACGCTAGAATGAGCCCAGTAGCTGTGCCTTTCACATTGAGTTTTTTTTTTGTTATTAGCAATTCTCTTTGCAAGAACAAAACCAGAGGCAACGGGCTCTAAGAGAGGCGCACCAGATAGTAGGAACAGGGCTATGTAAGGCAACTTATCAATCTGCCCTTGCGGGATGCGTCCGGAGAGCATGCAGGTGGGACGGTGCCAGGCAAAACGCACGTGAAAGAAAATCCAAGGCTTAATCGCTCGAAGCTCGCTTGTATCAACCGACGTCAACATCACCGGGTTCAACCTTCACTGGCTGCCGCTATTACCACCACGCTCTTTGGAAGAAGCCAAATAAAAGAGAATGAGGAAATATCACGAAGCAAAATAAAAACTAATTACGAACATATCACTGCAGGAGTGCGTTTACGAGAAACTTGAGGGGCATTATTACTTATCTGTTTCTGCTAAGCCGAGAAAAAGAGTGGGAGGAGGTCGTAGCAGCTGTTAGGGGGGGGGGGGGCTGCAGTCTAAGATGGCTGCGGGAGGATGATGAACCCGTGACCTCTCATAGGAAATGATAGGACGCACTAAGGCCACGTTCACACTGAGCATTCCGGCCGCCGAAAGTGCTCCTAATCCGGTTCGGTGGCGGCAAAATCCGGTTCGGTGCTCCTAATCCGGTTCGGCGCGAAGGGCCCTCTCCGCGCCGATTGCTCTCAGACAAATTTTTGCGGCGTTTGCCACCGATTCGGTCACTGCGGACTAAAAGAAGCGCTAGTCAAGGAATTTTGAAAAATGGCGGCCCAGCCCGACTCATTTGTTATGCCGCAGTGCACGTAACTGAACGTTGAAACCAATGGGAGTTTAACCTACTCGGTGCCTACTTCGCATCCGTATTTCGTGGAAGAGGTGACCGAGCTTGCTGTTGGTGTGACCGGGCTTGTTGTGGTGTTGCAGAGCAAATTAACCCGCCAACGCCGCTGGCGTGGGTGGTTTTTTTTTTCTTTTGCTCTTCGTGCATTACAAGACAGCCACTTGCCAGCAAAGTAGGCCGCACTGTCTTTTCTTGCTTCCTGCGTACGAGAATCATCGAAGTATACGCCACCGGATAGCGTAGTGGCGTTTGCGAGCCGCGACAACAACCGGGTGACAGCGCATTCATCCTGCGTTCGACCCGTGGTAGATGGCATATTCGGCACATTGCATAATGCTGCACGTGCTACACAAAACTGCGCGAACTCGAATTGACGTCTCCAATAAATGGCACTCCGAGGTAATTTGTACCGAGCCTGCCTGACAGATTTCCCGAAGTAGTGGCCCACTAGTGATTAGAGCGCCGTCGCGGCTGCACGGGACCAAATGTGTTTAACGTGTATAGCAATGGTTTCCAAACATATTATGCCGTCGTCATTACTTGCACTGTAAGCACGATGGAGTTGCTTCTTCAACGGCACACAAGCAATGAACTTACAATTAAGTAGCGCTTGTGTCACAGCTCAGAATAGTGCGCAATTTACTGCACTGGAATGTAGCAGGTTACATCAGCGCGATCGCAACAAGGATATCGAAATGAATACACGCGTACACTTTTCGCACCGTCAAAATTCTGAAAATTCTTCGAACAACAAGCGTACGGACGGTACCGTTGAAGTGCTGGGGAAGTCAGCAGAGAGATGCGGATTCTAGTCGTAACTGCACGTTTCACTGCTCTAACCATTTCACTTCGCTGGTCGAGCTTGAGCGTGTTGGCGGCCAGCGAAGCTCCGTAATATCACTCTGATTGGGCTATATGCAATGTAGAAAAAAACTACTTTTATTTTGAGCTCGCTGAACTTTATTATACACTAAATGCGATCAAAGTAACTTACGAGCATAAAAAAACATTAACGTACGAGGGGAGATGAATTGCAACTTGCTGCTCGTGAGTTAGCAGCTGATCGTTCATCGTCGCTGTCACTCTTGGTGCGTCTACGTCATTTAAAAATCGTATACGTCAAGACGGTTTTTTTTACACAACTGCTCAAAGTAATCTGAGGAATCCTCTCCTGCAAACGACTTCAATAACACCAGCAACGCGTCACTCCCAACGCATGACACCAACACGGTGACACTCACCACGGTCATGTAGGCGCGGATAACAGTTCGTTCTGACACCGGGCAAGAAGCGAATCGCTTGTGGTGTGCTGACATGTATGAACGACCGTAAAAATCAAGCAACGCAGCGTTCGCCAAGGTTTGAAACAGCAGATCGCGAGCCTGCGCTACTTTCCGCATACAATGAAAGTTATGGGATTCACGCACTACAAAAGTACTGACGAATGCTGTAAGCACATTAGACAAGCCGAGTTTCAACTGCAAAGGTCAGATGATAACATTTAGCTATCCAACGTGACTGCAGCAAAGCTCACAAAACTCATATGTGTACTCTGCCGGCTATAATTAAACGCGCGAGTTACCACGTATTTTCTGAAGCGCGGAAGAAGGTTCATCTTTTTAGGGGCGACGTTCTTTATGGCATCACCTGGTTGGTCGTCCTTCCATCTTGCATAACCAGCATATCCATGGAGTTGTTGATTATTTTTCACGTTCTGGGCTGGGACAAGGAAACGAGAAAGAAGAAGAGCGCGAGCGAGGGACGCGGGCACGCTCAAGTGACAGCAGAGCGCTTTCGAACGCAGTTAAATAAACAAGTATTTTTGTCTTATACCTTAAAGGCGGAGTTGAGTCTGATCGCAGTGTCTGGAACGCCATCGTCTTAAAATTGGTGCCGAAGAACCGGGATTGAAAACCAGGACCCTACGGACGGCTACCAGTCAACTGCAGCGGCATGGAGTGACTGAAGTCGAAGCGGACGTCGCGGCGAGCACAGAACACGAGGATTATAAACGAGGCAAGTGAGCTCCTCGCTAACAACTCTGCCTCCTATGACCAGCTCAACTCCATATATGAGAGGCTGAAGGCTAATAACGAAGAGCTTAAAAACCTGAACAACGAGATTGAGCCGCATATACCTGACGAGGAGTTCGAGGTCGAGTATAACGCTGTCTTACAATACGAGGACGTTGCTACGCACATTCTCGCTGAGATTATCAGCAAGAAAGATCGCATGCTAAGGACATCGACCGGAACTCAAGAAACAGTTGCCCAGACAGTCGTAGCACCATCAGACGGAACTGGAGTTAAATTGCCTAAACTGATAATAGCTCCTTTTTTGGAGACCTATTCAAGTGGACCGAACTTTGGGAACAATTTTACCAAATTGTTCATAGTAACAATCGCATCACTGCTACAGAGAAGTTTCTTTACCTGCGATTGTATATTAAAGGAGACGCTGCATCAGTAATTGTGGGCCTTCCGACGACAGAAAGTTGCTACAGTGACGCCATCAAAATGCTACAGAAGCAATTTGGGGACAAGACGCGCCTGGAGCAAGAATATTTTGCCAAGATACGGGTTAAGCCCTGTCCGTTCATCGACTGACACGAAAGCGCTACGCAGCTTGTACGACCAAGTTATCGTGAATATCCGAGGCTTAGAGACTTTGGGTGTGCACAAGTCGTCATTTTCGTCAATTCTCTGCGACATCCTACTGCGTGCTCTTCCATGGGATATAGTCGTGCAGTATCATCGATCATGTGCCGTCCAGTTGGCATATGACTGGAGAGCTGAAGCTACACCCGTGGGACTGGACCGTGTGCTCAACTTCCTCTGTATCGAGCTGGAAAGCCTGGAGAAGAGTGATTTTAAGAATGCCAAAGGACGAGAACATGGAACAATCCCCGTGGCCAGTCAGTCGACGTAGTCTCGGCGTGGGAAACCGACGTCATCTGTGCTTCACAGCAACTCGGTACGAGAAAAAAAGGACAACTGCATATTCTGCTCGTCCAGCCATCACGTATCGGAAGCCTGCACAGCTGACTTGTCACTGACGCAGAAGAAGGAACAGTACTGAAAGTTGGGCGAGTTGGTACTCATTCATGACTTCTTTGCGCAAACACGTACACGGACACAAGAAAAAGAGGCATCTTTTTTTTCTTGTGTCCGTGTACGTGTTTGCGCAAAGAAGTCAGAAGAAGGAACTGCTTTCCAACGACAAAAGGTGTTTCCGCTGCACCACCAAAGGACATCGGGCACGGGACTGCAAAAAGAGGATTTCCTGCTCTAGATGCCAAGCTGGACACGCTACAAGCATGTGAGATCCCGATAGGTATTCGCGAAAGTCAGACTATCCCCTTCAGGCGCGAATTAAATCTGACGTAGCGAAAAAAAAATTTTGTTCAGATTATGAATACATAACGCTATTAAAGAAGGAATCCACAAGAAATTCAGAAAAAAATTCATTGGTTCAATTTTTCAATGGCGTCCACATATGTGGACATTGCGCCTCAAAGCAGTCATATTGTCACGTGACCGTTACCCAAGCGCGCGCACGAAGACGCAGGGAAAGGAAGACGACGAAGGTGCGCCATGGCTTGTGCGTGGGTTTTTCGCCATACTGCCTGTTGTATAGGCTCTAGTAAATACATATTTTACATCTCGCTTTCCTTGTTGCAATACCCATGAACGGTGGAGAAGAAGAAAACAAACGCTTTTATTTCGGAGGCTCGCAAATAATCATTGCAGGAACACTGCTTAGGAAGTCTTTTCCGCAAAAATAATCAGAAAGAGTCTATTTGGTATGAAACAAATAAAAACAGTCGTTCTGAGATGTCAGACAAAGGAAAATGTTGCATTTCCTGCAGCGGACACGGCTTTTGGATGTGCATTCCTCTCTCCGGCAGCGTTGTGCGTTAGCCATGTTTACTTGCTGCGGCCAATGATTAATCCCATCATAGCGAACAGTGCTGACTGGTAGTGGTGAAGCATTGGGTACCTTCTTTTTCACTGTTCGGGAGTTGTCATTGCTCGGACGTCCACGCTTCTTTTGTGGCTTATTGCTGTTCAGCAGGCAATTCGCGACGTCTGTTTGGAACGCCATCATGTCCAGTGTCTCTTTTCTTAGTAGCCCTGCTTTATTGGCATCCCTTAAGTATTCAAGCCAACTGTTGGAGAGCGCAAAAGATGCAAAATGGGAAATCACTCTCACAGGCCACTTTTTCGTTCGCGTCCGCATTGGGTAGAGGGACATGATGAAGTCTAGTTTGTCTACTCCACCCATGTATTTGTTGTAGTCCAGGACTACCTCTGGACAGTCAATGTCAACGTGGACCTTTGGGATTCGCTCCATCTTCTCACGGTGCCAATATTTCCAACTCCAAGGTGGGTAGAAGCCATGTTGACGGTCCCGTTGTCTTGCCAACGAACAAGGACAACTTCGTCGTTCTGGGAAACCCGCTCATCATAGCTTCCCCGTCCTTCTTTCTTCATTTCCTTGTCTGTTTTCATGACGCATCCTGCCAAGCGGTTTCCCCTAATTGTGCCACTAGCCAAAATGCCGATCTTTTTTAACTCAAGAAAGAGCTTCACGGACGTAAAATAATTGTCCATGTAGCACTTGATGTTCTGTGCCTTCGGGAGGCTTTCAACAAGGCGCATTACGACGGAGCCACCAAGGCCAAGATGTGCATGTTCTTTGCTCACTCCCGTTCCCTTCCCTTGGTAAAACTCAAAGTCATGTGCAAGACCGTCAAAACTGCAGCGTACAAAAACCTTCACGCCTTCTGGGTTCGGTTTTCCTTTCACAAATTGCTTTGCAGCAATGCGTCCTGTGAACGGCACCATCTGTTCATCGATGCTATTCTGTTCCAAGGGAACAAGCTGTAAGCAGCGGCTTCTGACAGCTTCTAGCAACGGCCTAACTTTCCAAAATTTGTCTTGGCTGTTCGGGTCCCGTTCTTCATTAGCGTCGCTTATGTGGAGAGCGCCTCTGATTTTGAAGAATCGCTTCACGCCCATCGAATCGGCTATTGCGGGAATCCTCGTTGCAGTTTGCCAATACATTCTGACGCGTGGGTATTTCAGAACACCCATCAGCATGAGCATTCCAAAAAATATTTTGATCTCTTCTTTTGTAGTGGCTAATACGGCACCGTCTCTTTGCAGGACATACCTGTTTGTGAATTCAGCAAGGTCTTCAAATATCTGTTCGGTGAAATACTTGCTAAAATACACAAGTGGCTGCTGGCATGTCGAGGCTACTTCAGGATTGTAGTGGCAGTCAACATCACTTGGAGCAAAATCTTTCTTCACCCATTTGAACTCAGCCTTCGTAGATGCCGCAGGTGCGTTCGAGCTGACCGTGGCGTCTGGTCGTGCAGGCAGTGCAGCTGTGGTCGTGGATGCGGTCACCTGACCATTGGCAGGCTGAAACAAACAGCGTAAATTAGGGTCAAAGTACCTTTAGACAGTTTGGTGCCATATGTTTCCCGAGAACACAAAATAATGTCTCACAATCTCGAGCAAACTTACTATGTTTTCTTCATTTTCTGCTTCCAATTCGTCATCTGAAAAGTCGCCATCTGAGATATCTCCATTTGATATTCTCATGAGGATTTCTTCTGCTGTCGCATCATCAACTTTCTGACGTTTTGAAGCATGATCTTCAAGTCCTGGAGACAAAAAATCACACATAACCATCATATCTGCGCACACGGTGCGAAATGGCTGCCCTGCAACAAAGGCAGCACTAAGGCGCAATGTCCACGATCGTGGACGCGGTATTTTACGCACCCTTTTTGACGTTATAAATAGTTTCTAGTTGCAAAAGTCTTGTTTATTGGCATGAGGTATCTCTTAGCTCTTACTGACAAGTGCATAATTTCATGCCACCTCGAATGAAACATAGCAAGGGCTTGAAAAGTGAGAGCCACTTACGTGCGCCGCCGTAAAACGTGGAGGCGTCCATCTTTGAGAGTTGTTTTTGTAGTTATTTTGTGTCAGCTGCGGCAGATGGCGCCACGGGTCGCTGCAGCAACATGTAGTGATAGAGAGAGCACTGGTTGCGCGCGAGATTCAAAGTAAATTTCGAGATATTGAGCTGTGAAGTTGGCGTCCACAAATGTGGACGCTGCGCCTGAAGGGGCTATGCTAACAATAACTACAAAAAACTACGACAGTCTGTGCATCACTTGGAAGAAGACCCGTCAAGGAAGACTCTACCACTTCCGTTTTTCTTCAGACTTTCAGAGCGTGGGCCATGAATGATGACACCTGCCGCTACATACGAGGTGTTTTCGATGGGGGCAGTCAGAGGACTTTCGTAACTGAAGATCTGTCCAAGCACCTCAAGCTGAAAAGTGTGGGAGCAACTCAAATAGCCTTCAATACTTTCGCAAATACACCAAACCAAGAGGCTAAGAGGCGTCGCATAGTAGAACTACAACTGCGAAGCCAGTTTTCCGACGAGGAAATAGTCTTAACTGCAATAGAGATCCCAAGCATCTGCCAAGGCATCGCAGAGACAGCAATGGACGTAGCCTTCATTGCGTCTTTCCAGAAGCTGGGAAACGATGTTGCCGATGAGCTCCAACATCCATCTATCATAACTAAGAGTGGCATCAGCGTACTTATCGGGTCCGATGAGATGTGGAAAGTGTTGACCGGCGAATTTTCACGGTGCGAAGGCAACGAATCATTGATCGCACTAAACTCCAAGCTTGGCTGGACCTTCCAGGGAAGTACATCGCACTTGGCGTCCCACCCAACTACTTCACAAATGATGGTGTGCGTGCTAAAAGCCCAAGCTACCGATTCCGACGAGATTTTGCGCTCCTTTTGGGAACTTGAAAACATAGGAATTACGGACACGATAAACAAGCCACCGGAAATGAGCACCACCATGAGGCATTTTGAGCAAATGATTAGCTTTATAAACAGAAGATATGAAGTGACCCTCCCTTGGAAGGATAATTTCGAGCTTGCAAGCAACAGGCAAGTAGCCATTAATCGACTGGACAAGCTTGTCAACCGTCTCAACTCCAGAAAAGGACTGCTCGAAACGTATGACCGTACCCTAAGGGAGTACTTGAGGGCAGGACACGCCGAAGTAGTCAGTGACGTACCTGCAGAGGTGACGAAATTATATTACATGCCGCACAAGGAAGTCATGCGTGAACAAGCACTGACGACGAAAATGAGAGTGGTGTTTGACGCTTCGTCATATGCCAAAGGATGCAAGTCCCTTAATGACTGCCTTCAAAAGGGTGACAACTTATACCAAGACCTCGTGCAAATTCTGCTACGCTTCAGAACGCACCCGGTGGCAGTTATTGCGGACATAGAAAAGGCATTCCTTCAAATTGCGATTCGCTAGGGCGACAGAGACGCTTTCCGCTTTCTGTGGTTTGCAGAAGGAGATTTATTCAAGGGCGAGCTGCAAGAGTGGAGGATGACACGAGTGCCTTTTGGAGCTACATGTAGCACATTTTAGCACACACCTACTATTTTCTACCACGTGAAAAGAGCACCGGCTGTCATGGCACAAACAGCGCAAACTCTTGCCGAGTCGTTTTACGTGGATGACTTAGTCACTGGTGCCGACACAGAAGAGGAAGCCGCTGAACTATGCCGAGGAGCGCACACAATAATGAAATCGGCCGGCATGACATTGCGAAAATGGACAACAAATTCAGCAAATTTGATGCGCACGCTTGAAAATCAAGTGGAATCTATTAGTAATGAGATGCTCGTTCTTCACGAAACGTCGGTCAAGGTCCTGGGTTTAATTTGGAATTCTGAAAAGGATGAATTCAACTTTTCGGATGAAAATCTACTCCGGTTTTTGACAGCACAGACGGGTACAAAACGACTTGTCTTGCAGTCAGCATCAAGATTATTTGACCCATTGGGATTTGTAGGACCATATACTATTGTCATACGAATATTGTTTCAGAGACTGTGGATACGAGGAATTGGCTGGGATGAAGTCCTACCCAATGACCTGCAAAAAAGTGGAATGATTGGGTCATCCAGCTGCCGCAACTGCAAGACGTCATCGTTCCTCGCTATCTGGGCGGCGGAGCAAGGAAGACCAATGTGCTTAAAGTACATGTTTTCTGTGATGCCAGTCCAGCGGCATACGGAACAGCGATATACGTCGTATGAAGTCCTGAGGAGCCGATACTGTTTATTGCGAAGTCCCGTGTAGCACCCATTAAGGAGACAATGCTGCCGCGATTCGAGCTGCTGGCTACCTTAATCGGCTCAAGAATGTTGGCATACGTGAAAATGGCTTTGAGGAATGTTCAAGTTGACTACACGATGTGGACAGATTCCGCCATTGTGTTGTCATGGATAAAAGGTGACGTCAAAAAGTGGAAACAGTGCATAGCCAACAGAGTCAATGAAATTAGGTGCACTACAGATCCATCAAAGTGGAGATACTGTCCTGGAACGGAGAACCCGTCTGACCTACTCACACGTGGCGCGACGCTTGAAAGACTGCAGTGCAGCTCAAAATGGTGGCATGGTCCCGAGTGGCTAACTAAACCGATGTCTGAATGGCCCCTACAATTCTGTGAACTAGACATAGCGGAAGCCACCCAAGGTGAAGTTACAACAGTTCACGTCGCACTAATGATACGCTTCTCAGTTCCGATAATTGATATTTAACGGTACAGCAGGCTTCAACAGCTACTCAGAGTGACTGCGTGGATTTTGAGATTTACTGACCGATGCAGAAAAAAAGTAATCTTACAGGACATCTCGTGGCAACAGAAATCCTGAACGCGGAACAGTATTGGATAAGATGTACACAAGAGCAAGGCTTTCTTGAAGAACTCACCACTTTGACCAACGGCCAACCAGTCGAGTCTACATCTCGAATCGCTGAACTACGCCCTTACATAGACAAAGACGGAATTCTTCGGATTGGAGGCCTTTTATTTCTCATGCATTCCACACAAGATGTCAAGCACCCAATCATAATGCCGTCAAGCCACCACTTTTCGACAGTTTTGGCAAACAGGGCCCATCTTCAAGTCTCACATGTAGGAGTTAGAGATACACTTACGCATCTTCGGGAACGCTACTGGATTTGTCGAGCTCGCTCTTTGGTAAAAAGAGTGCTGCATGGCTGCAATATATGCAAGCGTTTCAGTGCGGGCCCAGTAACTGCTAAGACTGCTCCGTTAACAAGTCATCGAGTGACACCAACGAGCCCGTTCCAAGTTGTAGGAGTCGAATTCGCGGGCCCTCTGTATCCACGCACGGAGAAAGGGGACACGAAGTGCTACGTTGCACTTTTTACGTGCGCCGTATCTAGAGCCGTGCATCTAGAGCTTGTCTCGAAATGACATCCGAGGCTTTCCTGCTGTGCCTATGACGATTTGCAGCTCGGAGAGGATTACCTAGGGTGATCTATTCTGACAACGCACGAAGCTTTCACAATACATCGGCAGACATAAAGCGGCGAAACCGAATGTTCTCTGAAAAGGACGTCGCAGGTCACCTCAGCACCAACAGCATTTCGTGGAAGTTTATAGCACCAAATGCTCCTTGGTGGGGTGGATGGTGGGAGCGCCTTGTACGATCACTGAAGCTTCCACTGCGAAAAATTATCGGCAAAGCTCGTCTGAACTACGAAGAAATATCGACAGTGCTGGCGGAGGTCGAAGCAGTCGTAAACTCTAGGCCTCTGACTTTCATCGAGGCAGATGCAGGAGAACCTTGCACTTTGACGCCAGCCGAACTTCTCCTTGGACGAAGGTTGACTTCCATACCGTATGCGACCGCTGACGAAGTCAACAGTAATTCCAAACGATCAGACGCCATACGCAGACACAACTACAGGAAGCTGCTGGTTGAAAGTTTTTGGAAGCATTGGCAAAAAGAATACCTGTTGCGATTACGATCTGCCCGCTTTGCCGACACGAAATCAAATACAGCATTGAAGCAAGGGGACATCGTTCTCGTGCATGCGGACAACACGCCACGCCAGCTATGGAAGCTTGCAAGGGTCACGGAAGTGTACTGCAGTGCAGACGGTCTCATTCGTTCTTGCAAGATCAAGTTGCAAGGCGGTCACCTTGCGATCAGGTCGATACAAAGACTGTGCCCACTTGAACTATGTGTTTAACTTTGCGCGGCCGGGAGTGTTGATTATTTTCACGTTCTGGGCTGGGAAGAGAAAACGAGAAAGAAGAAGAGTGCGAGCGAGGGACGCGGGGACGCTCAAGTGACAACAGAGCGCTTTCGAACGCAGTTAAATAAACAAGTATTTTTGCCTTATACCTTATAGACGGCGTTGAGTCTGATCGCAGTGTCTGGAACGCTATCGTCTTAAAAGAGTGATTGTTGACGAGTGGAGTGAAGCGTCCGTGCGTGTGATGCATGCTCTAGTGTGATAGGAGCGGATGTACAGGCAGACAGACAGCAGAAGCACGGACGGAACGACGAACCAATGAACGGATGGACGTACGCTTCGCCCGACTCGTCATCATTCACTCTGTGGATATGCTGTGAATTTTTTTTGGGGAGATCATACGCGGACGCTACGCACCGGCGTGCCGGGTGGCATCTAGGGACGGCGGGTGCGCAATACAGCTTTGTTGATGCGTGCTCACCTCTGCCCCCCACCAAGCTGCCACCAGCTGCACCAACCTTACGACTCGGTGCCGCCACCTGCTGCACTAAGTCCTGGAGGTGAAACTGAGAGAAAATGTGACCCTCCTGACAAACCTTCATGGCCCACGAGTGTCTATCGGAGGCTATGGAAGTAGCACGAGGATCATCAGCGTCCTAACATGCTGACGGAATACCCATAGGTCAGGCAGGGCTCTAGAACGCCTCAAAAGGAAGAAACACTTTTCAGGCGAGCCACCTCATAAAGGCAGCAAAGTGTGAATAAATCGCCTTTTTTCTTGATTGATGAAAATGGCTGCCAAGAGCATCATTCACTGAATTCGCCGACGCCTACTGAATAACCTAGACGACATCTAAGAAATCCTTGCGCACCAACCAAACCTCCTTGGCTTGCACGAAACGGGCCCAAACGCAACACACATTAACTTTTTAAAGATATGTCGTATACCGAAAGGACAGCTTCATTCAACACTGTTTCTATCGTTATG